AAATAAAGTCGCTGCTGTGCCTTTTTCACACACTGATGAATGTTTTCCCCCCATTTGAAGTCATTTGTGATATATGTACCTAAAAATTTGAAGGAATTAACTATTTCAACAGTAGAATTCTGGATGATTAGTGGTTCTTTCCTTAGTTTTTGCAACATTTAGTTTAAGATTGTTGTAATTACACCACTCAATTAGTTGTTCAACTTGTGCGCGATAATGATGCTCATAATTGTTCTGAATAAGGCCAGTCACGGTAGTATCATCAGCGAATTTAACGATAAGGCAATCTGAGAAGGAGGTACTAAAGTCATGTGTGTAAAGAGAGTAAAGGATTGGCAAGAGGACACATCCTTGGGGGGGCCCCTGTATTTATTATTATTGTATTAGAAATTAATGAACCTATTTTAACTACTTGGGGTCTCCCCAGCAAAAAATATAATATCCAGTCACAAAGACACACATCAATACCAAGATTTTTCAACTTAGGTGCAATTTACAAGGTAACAATATTAATCACAAAATTACAATAAAAATTAAAATAAATTAAACAAAAATTACGAAACATAAGTAAAGCAGAGATAGAAGTAACCAGTTACCAAGGTTGTGCAGTTACCATGGTTCAGTACACACACAGTGGATACCACCAGTCTAGCCGACGGACCTAAGCTTCTCTCTTTCATTTTTGTTTGTACTATTATTGATATTGCTACTTACCCTTCCTGGTAGTGTTCAAAATGATCTAGATAGAATCATCTGTTCGTTCATGCAATCACTCATTCTCTACTTTATTCATTCAATCCTTCATTCTATCATTTACTAGTAGATTCTCTAGTTTAGTACACATTTACTAATAATTTTATTTTTCTACTGCATAGATTCCATATTAATAAATGACAAGACAAGCCAAAGCAGTCACTTGATTTTTAGTTATTAATACAGCGTAAAAGAATCATTTAAATCCAACATTTCCTTATGAAGTTACAAACATTTAAACAGGATTCGTAGGCATCCTTGAATTCCTTGAATATCCTGGAAAAACAAACGAGCATTTCCCATTACTGGAAAGTCCTTAAATTTATGATTGTCCTTGAATGTCCTGGAAATTTGATCATTCACCATTTATCCTGCAAGTTGCCTAGTAACAGTAAACTAAATGAGAAACGTTCACACAAGTAGGTTCCGATAATCTTGGGAGAAGCAATTTAGGAATGCTATCGAAGACAGAAAGAATGTCAAATGCTGAAAATAGCCGACTGACTGGTTCAGTACAAACTTGTGTGATACAGTGAATGGAGTTGTTCGCCCATATTTTAGTAAAGCTTTGCTTTCTTAATCTTGTATATTTTCATATTTTTATGTATTTTTATTCTTTATCTTGTATATTTACATATTTATATGTAATTTTAATTCAGACATGGATAGGGATAATTATTAGCTTTGTTGATATCTGCTATGGTATTTATATTTGCTTTATGTTGTGTCTTATAAACAGTAATATTAAACTTAAACTTTCAATCAGTTGAACAGTTCTTGTCGCATGCTCAGTACTACAGCCCGAGAATTTGCTTTGAGTAATTCACCACTCTCCAGACGTGCACACTTGTTAATTATCAATTAAATTATCAATCAAACCATGGGAGCAGGTACCTAGACTACAGTTATTTTCTTAATGAAGGGCGTTTTTGTTTAAAGGGTGTTTATAGTTAAAAGTCCTTGATTTAGAGCGAGAAATTTTGTTAATTTTGTTTCTGAAATTTACAAAATCATTGAAAAAAACAGTGCCAGTCGGCAGCCTATCAGTGTCGGTTGAATGGTGAGAACCCTATCATACGTTAACATTTGCTGTATAGTAGATTATAAAAGTTTGCCTACAGCATGGTAAATTTGACAATTTAAATTCATTCAGGGAATTCTTAATTCTGACTTGTGTTCTCTGATTTGTAGACTGAAGTGTTGGTGCAATGTTTACGAGATCTTGAACACTCAGCATCAAGCGATGCTGCTGTAAGGGAAAAGATTGCCAAGTTACCACCTGAAGTGCAAGATGTTAGCCTACTAGAGAGAATCAAAGGTAAGGCAGGGATGTCGTTATTGTGGGTGGGGGCCACCCTGCCTTGAAGTTTTCCACCCAGTCTAAAGCTAATTTCATGGCCCTTCACCCACCCGTATTAACTCACTTTTCCATCCTTAGTATCCAGTCTTTATATTATGTATTACTTATTTTATTACCAATGTTATTGCCCATCCACCCTTGATTTGTCTATTACCCACCCATAGTTTTCTACAGCTACAACCCTGGTAAGCTATACTCCCTTAGTTCTTGTCAAGCATGCACTATACACAGCAGGAAACTATAATATTTTATGGTACTATATGTCAAAATTCAAAGAATATAGGAATTGTATTATTAATTAATGTCCGTTTTTTTTTTTTTTAAAACTAACAACTTATTTGTGAGGCAAGCCATCCCAAAATCAGCATACTGTTGTAGTGTGTTAACCTGAGTAATTTAGCATAAGAATGTGACAGTAATGTATACTTGCTACTTCGAAGCCGTAAAAGTTTATTTCATAACATTGGCAATAGTTAGTCAATATCAGTAAATCACCCATCATTTAAAAAATTTATAATGTGAAAAATATGTATACATACAACAGCAATTCTATTTATTTTTGTTATATGTTTGCTTCAGGTGGCAATATATTATCTTTGAGGATATTCATAGTATAAAATATGTAAATCATCTATTCAATGGCCGTTAATAGATACTGTAATGAGTAAGAAGTAATTTAATTGATAGTATTGTCTATTCCATCACGACAATAACAATACTATCAACACTGCAGTACCCGCTGCCATCAGACGCAAGCTCAGTAGTCTAGAGGTATGATATTAGGCTAGGGATCTGGAAGTTGTGGGTTCGAGTCCCACCCGAGAACAACAAAATGTTGATTTTTCAGATAAGGATTCAGCAGAAAAGCTTTCAACTCTTGTAAATGATGCCGTTTCCATGTTAACTGACTATAATGGAAGACTAGACCTCGAGATGGAAGAACGCAAGAGAGTTCTCAAGATGTTGAGAGATTACCGTCTAGGTCAGAAAGATCAACTTGTAGCTGCTGAAAAGAAATTAGAGGTAAACATTTGTTATTAAGTTACCATCTCTCAATTTATCTCCCTTAAGCCAGGTTTCTATAAAAATCAGTACACGCTATCGCCAACTCCTTTGGTCAGTTGGTTCAGTGAACGTTCATGATTGCGTCGGGGACAGTACACAGTGCTTGGATTGCAGTGAACATGATGCAGCGACAGTGTAGCGATTTAATGGAAACCAAGCTTTACTCTCTATGTTCTCTTGTTTATATTCTGTTAAACATTGTCTCTCTTTTTATACTGTATCTTTGTTGAAAGGTGGTCGATCATTTGCTGACAAGTGGGCCAGAGTCCACACCCACCTTAGCACCACCGTGTTTCATTTTCTTCTTGACAGACTTTACAGTGGCTCCCCAATAGCTATCTGGGCCAGGCCTCCCGGAGGGCGTCACTGCACAGCAAAGTTCCATTAGATGTATTAAGTTCTCCCGGGAGTGGCTTCTTCTATCTTGTGACCCCTGGCATGGGTAATCTCATGTCCCAGCCAACTTAGTCTTTTATTATTCATGTTTGCTCTTGTTGATTTTTATTATGTAGAACTATTGCTCTTTATATTGTTATTGTTGTGCTGCTGTAGCTGTAAGCAAATGACTATATTTTAATATAAAATTACTCTCGTTTATAATTGTTTTAGGAATAAATTGATTAATAATATAATGCATGAAATTTTTCTTAGGAGTATAAACAGAAGTTGAACAAGGTAACAACTGTGCGGAAAGAGTTAAAGAGCCACATTCAAAACCTACCAGACCTTACGCTTCTACCAGACGTCACCACCGGTGGTCTTCCTCCTCTGCCATCTGCTGGTGACCTATTTTCCATTGACACTTGAACCACGACCTGGAAACCTGATGAAGAAATAACAGATCTACAAAAAGGTCTGATTCCTGATGGATAAATTCAAAGGACATGGGCTTCAAATGTTGAATTTACATCTATGGTGGCTTAATATCACATTGTGATGGCTCTTTGGATGAGTGTCATTTGGGGATGTAGGTATAGCCCCCGTTACATTATAACTGCCTGGAATTTTTTCAACAGATGTTTTTAAAAAGTAAATTTGTTTCAAATTTTAAGCAAATTTATTTCTGGGACCTTGATGCATATAGCAGTTTTGATATCGAACATTGGAGGTTGTAAATGTTATTATCATCATTTATTATAATTTTATTTAATATACAGTAGTTAGATTTATATAGTGCTTTACACCTAAACGGTCTCAAAGCGCTAGAGATGTGAACTGGCTCTTACAGAAACTAAGGGTCTCTTTGTGTCTGATCTACCCGGTAAACCAGCTACTCTCATCAGTCCACAACAGGGGCTGTATGGACCAGTTCACCGGGGTAAACCCTACTCGTCTCGAAAAATGCACTAGGTTCTTTATAGTGCAAATGAGCCATATTATGTACACTGAGCGTACAGTTTATAGTCCTTATCCGAAAAGACTTGTTCCACCACCATAACCATAAGCGAACGTGCTGTTCCAACCAACACCAATATTATAGCGCCCCTGCCTTAACCGCTTGGCCATCCGACTCGCCAACTAAATGCACCATAGTTAGGAATCTATGGACACATTTGGTTGTAAAAAAGAAGTGTTCTGTAAACATACACGAGTGAGGTTTTCTACTTCTGTCTTCGTATGTTTATGTTAAATCATCTTGCATTGGTTATACCAAAGAATTGCTTGCTTTGCAAAAATGTGATTGGCTCGGGCAAAACCCGCTGTTTGTCACAATGTATAATTTCGCACAAGCACCCAAAACGTTTGAGAATCAGAATTTTTGGACATTGTCAGGTTTTTTGCATTTTATAAAAGAAGATGTATTGAAGAAGATTTTTCTGCAATATATCAATCGCTAAATCTAACTGTAAAGTAGAGATATATATATATTTTAATTAAAAATAATAATCTTGATAGTAATTGTTTTTGTCGTGATGGAATAGACAATAACTGGATTTGCATCAGGAGAATCAAGTATAGGTGTAATATTGCCCTACCTGACGTGGAAATGTACTGAATACTCATACTGAGTATTCAGTACATTTCCATATCAGGTAGGGAAAAATTACACCAATACAAATCTTTTAATAAACTATTGATTTTTAGAAGATTTTTTTCTCAAAATCTGCATGGCTGATATCCAAATGAAATAAATATCCATAACATCACTAATGCTTAACCAATTTCCATCAAATGAAAACAGTTTTAAAGAAGACTTCATGCAGAATCTAACAAAATATAAATTTTGAATTTTCTGATAAACAGCTGGTTTTGCCAGAGCTGGTCACAAATGGTTTTTATTAAGATTTTTTTTTTTTAATAGTTAAAAATTTCGTCAGAAATTTAGGGTAATTGATGATTAAGATGACAATGATAGCTATGAAGATAATGATAACTATGATTATGATGATATAGGATATCAGGAAATCTGTCCCAGGCACTTTAACAAACCAGAAAGAGGATGCAACATAAAAAATGGACATTAAAATCCCTGAAGCAATGAATTGATTATGGTGCCTAAATATTATACAGAATTTAGGAATGAAATACCAATGGTAACACTTTTATAAAGGATGCCCTCTACAGTTCAATTTGAATGCTACAATTACTTTTACCCCTTATCAGGGAATAAGTATTATAAAATAATAACAGATAAAGATTAATAACAGTGACCAGCATTTGTATTTCAAAAGAAAACAAATTTATTTTAGTAGTTGTTTGTTTTTTGTTCTTTTTTTTTTTTTATCATTTAACAATTGTGTGATTTTATTTCTTGTGAAGAAGTTCCCTAGTCTGATAATTTTTTGTTCCACATTTGTTTCACTCTCAGTTTCTGTAGTTAATGGCTTCTCAGGTTCTTGTAAGTTCAGTTTTATTTTTTATTAATAATCTAGCAAAACATATGTTGAACTATTAAATTAAAATATAATTGTTGTACAATATGTAGACCTACATGGGTTTAATAATATTTTTTGAAGTATTTTTCTCCATTACCGTACACCCAATAATTGGAACACTTTTTGTAGCAACTACAGAAATTTCACATAAACAATTTTAAAGGCCTGTTTATACTTGTGACGATAACGATAAAAAGCAATTTTTCATATAGAAAGTAAAAGAAATATGAGAAGTTTTTACTCTAGGACGATTCGATAACGGTTGTATCATACTGTACAATACAAAATTCACTCCTCTGTTACATGCAGTTAACTTGCCTAAGATTAAAGATATTATTTTGTCATCCCAGCTCGATCTTTTGTCACAAATATTTGCTAATGACTCCACCTCCAGGAAATGTTATGCCTATTTACATAATTGTGAAGCTAACGATAACATGGTATACAAGAACACGCTTATTGATAGGATAAAGAAAGGCCTGGTTAAAGGCCCAAGATTAAAGATATTATTTTGTCATCCCAGCTCGATCTTTTGTCACAAATATTTGCTAATGACTCCACCTCCAGGAAATGTTATGCCTATTTACTTAATTGTGAAGCTAACGGTAACATGGTATACAAGAACACGCTTATTGACAGGATAAGGAAATGCCTGGTTGACTTGGATATCTCTCTTTTCTCAACACTATTTAATTATAGCTATAGACGAAAATTGAAGACTTCAATTAAGAATAGTGATTGTATTAACAACGGTATTTGTGACAGTCTTAAGACATTAATCGATAGGAAAACATGTATTAATCAACAAAACCTCGACCTAATTATCATGCTCACCAAACCATTTTAACTCTGGTTGTCCTTTCCTTCTGGATGAGGGTTTTGTTCGTTTGTTTTCCCGTTTTCTCTGTTTTCTTTGTAATTTTATTGCTTGTTGTTTGTGCTTCTCCTTTCTGGAGGTTTTTGAATAAAATTGAATTGAATTGAATTGAAAATTATTTCACAAATCAACAAATCAGGCCAAAAAAAATTGTTTGTTTGCCCTCCTCCACCTGCCCCTAACTCAATGAAAAAATAGCTTTTTTCTTTACAAATTAAACAAAATGTGAGTGAATTTATCTGTATTTTTTGCCAGATGCCCTACAAATTAGTCTAAAGTTGTTGTCAGATGTAAGATATTGCCATTCTAGGCATTTGTGGGTTATTTTTATTCCATCTGATGAGAATCTTAAAAAAAAAAATTTAAAAAAAATTTTCAACCCACCCCTATTTATCATTTATAAAAAAAGAAAGGGCAAACAAACAATTTTTTTTTTTTGGCCTCATTGAAAAACGATGAAGTCGTGGTAGTAACAGCGATTTTATCTTATGACGTCATTTGAATTGTGGGTATGCTTTTCATAGCAGTTCTCAAAGTATTGGAAGCGACCTAAAATTGGGTCAACAAATAAATTAATGGGATGCAAGACTTTGGGATTTTTAAATTTAATTTTATATCCTGCCACAATTTGTTATAGTAGGAAGAGCACATTTCTATTCGCTTTTGTTAACCAGTTTTTAGAATCTGTTTTTTTGACATCCCGTGAAGAGGAATGCAGCAAAGTGCCTGGACATTTATTTGGGTTATTGGCCAAAAGATGCCATTGCCGAACCGTAGTATTATCATGACGTATAAGTGGTTATTGTACTTGTTTTAATATTTTTCTGTGTCATTACATAGGTACAGCTTAAAAATACAAATATTGTATTTTTTGAAGTATCATGAAAAGTTAAATTGAAAGTAAGAGTACAAGCTTTCATTTTATTAATAATGATAAAATTGTTTAGAGTTATGTTTTGCCCTATCTGGAGCGTTATCGTACTGAATACTCGGCATGTATTCGATCCCCAAGTAGCAGCGGGTACTGCAAGTCTTATTAATAAAAACTAAACAAATTAAATTGCTGTTATAGAAATGCTCTGCCCTTTTCAAAGATAATTTCGAAGTGTTGTGGGCCGATAATTTTTTGACATATGCTGCAAATATTCTTATTAGAAATTGCTTTGGCATATAATGTTCCGGAAATTTGACATGCGTTCACAGTAAATACCAGGCGATTATTGAATTGTAGGACTAACATACGCTGAGCCAATTGAAAGCAAGTTTTAAGATTGTATTTGTATAGGTTTCACACAGGAGTAATAAATTTATTGTTTGAGTGTGTATATCTGTTGGCATTTGTTTTGTGATCTAGGGCCTACAGTTGATATTTATATTAAATATATCATACTCCAATTCCGTTCTCTTATGTAAATTATTGATGAGTAAACTCAACTCTTCATACTTAAAAAATTAAAATATTAATACAGTACTGATGTATATTTATATTTCAAATGAATACTGATGAAGAGCTATGCTCGAAATGATAGATTTCGTATACAGTACATATTGGCAATATTTTACTTTACGCTGTAGCTGTCTCTTATACACATCTAGATGTGTATAAATCAGTAAATATTTATATAGCGAAAGAAATTTATTGCTTTCAGAACCTGTTGAAACGTGCCTCATGGTAGGCCTATGTACAGATGAAAGAAATAGTCGGAGGCTTGGATGGAACAAAACGTGTCTTTAATTACGGTATCAAGCTTTCGAGCTTACGCTCTTCATCAGGATCTCTACAAAACATCCATAAAACAGTACAGAATCGTCTTAAAATATAAAAACTAATTATAAAAATAATTTACATTAAAAATACCTACGATTAAAATACATCAAAATTAGTATACCATGCATAGTGATTTCCGTTTATTTCATACTCTGACTATCATAAAATATATCCTATAGGCCTATGTATATTAGGTTATTTAATACAAATTTATAAAGGCAATTCGTGAAACTTACTGAAATGAAACGTGCATATATCTTCATTTGACTTAGGGGTGTTACCCTCTTGGTCTCTGCTCTGGTATTGTGGAATGAAATGGTACGTTTGTTGCTGACGTGGTGATAGAATTTTGTAAATCCGTTAATTAGCATATAATTAATTATGTAACCCGAAAGACAAGTTTTAGAATAGTAATTAAATGGACTAACTTTGTTGATAATTGATAATTGATTCTTGTTTATTAATGATACACTTAATACCTATAATTGATATATCTTCTATTGAATGATTAGCTTGATTAAAATGACGGCCAACTGGTAAGTTTTTAAGATGTGTATAAGAGACAGCGTCAAATATTTTATAATTTGACAACAATAGATCTACGCATTCCTAATCATTAAACATTTAATTGTGTTTATTTTTCATTGCTCAACATTCTGCCATTGTTACTCAGACTCCAGATTTTAAAATAATTTATCCATTTAGATAATGCTACTTATTTTCTATAGTTAATTACTTACTATAACTAATATATAGGCTTAGCTTCTTACTTTCTACTTTCTTATTTTCTTGTTCCAGTACAGCTACCGGTACGAATTATTAGCGGCTGTGTAGAAGTTTTATGGGAATTAAGTTTTAAGTAAGACTGTAAAAACTGAACATTCCTTATTTAATCTCTAAACGAACATGAGAGTCAAGTTAGAGGCAACAATTTTAAAAGTATAATTTTAAAGAATACACACTATGACATGTATATATTTTTTAGTATAGACAAAAGCGACTTAAAATATAGTTTTAAAACTTACTTCTTTCAAAATGTATATGTGCTGTAGTTAAACTCTGTGACATTTAAAACTCAACCCAATCAACTAAAGGAAATGAATGTTGAAGGGGCAACAAGTAGTAGTTTCCCGTACTCATTGGGCATTCTAAGGTTTGGTTGTCTGGTGGTCCAAAATCTACGGTAACTGTAGTGCCACTTTGTGTTTGGTTGATTTGCGTGATTTTTCCTGACTTCTGTCCGCATCCGTCGTACGAGTCGTATGTGCCTAGAGGCCAACTTAAACCCCTTTTCACTTCATCTCCAACTTTCATTAAATATTTTGCATAACATTCTAGTCGACGCTGAAAGACAAAAGGTTCAGTTTTTAAGTATGTACTAGCCCCATAACGGCGGATCAGTCAAGAAAACAGAACATTCTTATAGAGTATTTTGTTTAATTAACATTAAAGTAGGCCTATATTTGCACGACAGCCTTCAAATGTCTAGTTACCTAGAATATCTAGATTCATTTCTTAAGACACATGTCTCTCTCTAACTTAGTGAGACATTTGGGACCGGGGTTTCCATGGTATTTTAACAGCATTGGTCTCTAATTATAATAATAAGGATAAACGACATTTTTGTTAATTTGAGACCACAGAAAAGTAGTCATTGGAGAGATCTTCAATTAGAGGGAGATCTGTGCACCTTTTTAAGACTATTATGTTTGTCTTTTTCCTGATTGTTTTAATAGTTTTCTTACAGGCATACATCAATTACCGGCACAGATATTTTCACACACGCATCCAATAAATATTCCTTGATTCCTTGATTCAAATCGCACCCTAGGAATTGCTCAGCGTATTATCATAGAATGTCGCATTAATTACCTGGTAATTCTGATGAGATGCGTTACTTGGCTGTAACCAGTAATTTCCGGGATTCATTTTGCATTCAACAGTAACGTACTGAAAATAAACAGTAACACCAAGATCAATCGACCCTTTTTATCACATCTGACTGGACGAAATTTGCAACGTGTAATAATGTGTGGCTACAGGAGCAAGTAGGCCTACTTGAGTCAGAGTTACAAGTTTAGCTGATCACCAAAAAATGACTAATTATATACCTGTAGGTCCAGATCGTAATCGCTCGGATAGTATTCTCCGTCCCGATTTTGCAGGCAGCTAACAGTAATAACAAAATCATTCGGAGCATTTCGTTGAATTGACTGGATACTATTACATTGCTGTCCATAATTGTCGTAAGTGTCAAATCCTGCCGGCCAATTCGGACCTCTTTTCATCTGGTCACCTACCACCATCTCCTTTACAGTGTAGTATTCTATTGGGCTGTACTCATCCCGTTCCTGTGAAACAGTTTAATTTGAAAACACTCTGTAGATCATAAGAAAGGACTTTTAGTGGAGTACTACATTATGCATAGGCCTAGTTTGTTTAAGGTAGATTACGAATGTTATATCATTTTAGCAGATGTGAAGATGATGAATGAATGAATGAACGAAAGAACAAACACAAAAACAAATGATCGAGGAGAATCGAACGAACAAATAAACGAATTAATGAATGAATTGTAAAGCGGGATTTTGCCTTCTATGATTTTACTCGTTGATTTAAATTATTCTCTTGCATAAATAAATAAATAATAATAATAATAATTTATATAGCGCCAATTTCAACTATACCGAAGTAAAAATCAAAGGCGCTTAACATTTAGATGGTAAAAAGGTGCGTCTTAAGTTTTGTCTTAAAAATAGCAGCTGACGGTGATTGGATAATATGTTTGGGCAATGAGTTCCAAAGGGATGCTGCGGAAAATGAATATGATCTAGAACCAAAGGTTTTGGTGTTAATCCTAGGAACAACTAAAAGATTTTTATCAGAAGAACGGAGACAAGTAGGTGGGGCATACGCTTATTTGCAATATCAATATTCTTTTCAAAGGATGGTATGATTTCTTCCAGCTTGTTAAGTTGCTCAGTTATCTCCTCCTTGAATTTTTCTTTGGTCGGACCATCTTGTAGATTTATGAGACAATGATCACGTTGATTGTGATCTACAACTGTACATCCGAGGCATACGGGTACTTGACATGTTTGGCAGAAGTACTCCAAATGGTTATTTGAGTGTTTCTGGCATGGTATTTTGGCGTTTCCTTCTCTCGATTTTCTCACCAGTGTGTCCGTTTTAAGCTCAGACATCAAGATGACTTGATGATTTCTTGTCACACGGGTCAGGGTGTGTGCCTTTGCACATTTATCGCAGAGGTTGTCGGAACAATCGATGCAACGTGACGAATTTCCTTCAGTTAATACTTCTGAACAAAATGAGCAGAGGACGTCCACGGTATTGAGATTAGCAACTAGAAATAACTCACACAAATTACTGAGGAAAAGATTGTCTTGTAGTTCAGCAACGGTGTCTCCCATCAGCTCAACTTCTTCACGGCAGAGGGGGCACTTTATCTTGCATGAAGTTGCTTCATTCATTAAAGGTTGTAGGCAATCTTGGCAGAAGTTATGCATGCATTTTAGCTGTTTCGGGTGTTTGAAAATGTCCTTACAGATTGAGCATGTTAAAAATTCTTTATTCGCATCTTCAAACAACGTGATCTCTGATGCCATCTAAAACGCAAAAACAAAAACAAAAAATAAAATAAAAAAATAAAAAAACAATAATGAGCTCATTCACATTGTATTGGTATATCGAATGAGTGTTCTAACATGATATATTAAACGACAGAATAAAAAAAATAATTTTGTCAACGATGTCCCTGGTTGTCATAACAAGCAGTATATTATTTTGGCCATTTGAGTATTGAGTAAACGTTTGCTTTTTTTCTTTTAATACGTGAAGTTATTGTTATGGTTATCAGACAGTATAGTTACTGCTATCTTGGTTTTACTAATCGTGACTATTACAGTAAGTAGTAAGTCAAATGAGCGAAATACATAAACACAATTGATTGCTAAAATCTATGGTTTCACTAGTGGAATTAAAAAATGTTCTTTCGGGAAGCATACTTGTTGTTCAACAAAAACCCTGTTTCGCGTATATTTTAACACTCGTCTTGTGGGACCTTTGCAACAATAGCCAACGGTAAAAATTAAATTTTCGAAAGTGCACCTTATGTTCCCATTGATAAAGGGTATGTAAGAAAAAGTTCTTGATTTTTGTTTTATCCGTACAACTTTGTACTCACAATTAAATTATGAAGGTTTAATCTCAAGAATTTAAAAGTAAGAAGAATTAAGATACATCATTAAGAACAATTCTAGACTATTTTCTCTCTAAATACAAAAGAGTGAAAGTGGGCATCAAATAGAGTGAACTAGATAGACATTTCCCCCCGACTGTTTCCCCCTAGGACAATTGCCCTCCCCGGACCCCCCCGCCCCCTTTAAAAAAAAAAAGAATTTAAATACAAGGAATACATCAAGATTTGTGTCATCTCTTTTATTAAATCTTTATTAAATCAACTGCGCAAGTAACAATATTTTAAATAGTAAAATTTAAGTAACAACAACAAACATTAGTTTACTTTACTTGCATTTTCGCATATTTAGTAACTATTTCTTTTTGTTATTATCAATTTAATTATAGTATAACACATAACAATATTGACAACATGGAGGTATAATAGTTAAACAAATGTACATGTAAACAGCAACAGCAGTTAATAGTAGGTAATACAAATGTTATAAATTCAGCATAGTTATATTTAAGCAACAACAAACATAAAACGCAATATATGAATTACATACATTAAGCCATTAAGTTTACTTTATTTGCATTTGCTCATTTTTAGTTCCTACAGTATTTATTTTTTTTTTATTATCAAACTATAATATAACTCATAACAATATTGAAAACATGGAGGTATAATGATTAAACAAACGTACATGTTAACAGCAACAGCAGTTACTTACATATTGCAAGTAGGTAAAAAAAGATTAGCATGGTAATATCAGGGAACAGTTAAATTACAATTGTAATTTAACTGTTCCCTGGTAATATTTAAGTAACAACAACAAACATAACAGCAGTATGAATTATACACATTAAGCCATTAAGCTTACTTTATTTGTATTTGCTCATTTTTAGTTACTATTTAATTTTCATTATCAAATTGTCAATATTGCTATGTATTATATTATAATTAAACGTAAACAACAGCAACAACAAATTATATAAAGAGGTTATATAAATCTTGATGTATTCCTTATATTTAAATTCGTGTTTTATAAAGGGTTGGGGGGATGGGGAAATTTTTCTAGGGGGAAACAGTCTGGGAGGGGTGGGGAAATATCCTGGGGAAAAATCCCGGGGCAGGTGTATCATAACTATATTGTCATAGATCAGTGTTTTTAAGGAAAATATTATAATCTGAACGGAGTGATTAAATATTTCAATCTCTAATTAGATTTCATAATTCTGCATCACAATGGAGCGTCTATTTGTTGTAATTTGTTTTGTACAAGCTATTTGTGTTTAGTCCTATTTCGTAATGAGCCTCATATAGGCCTATGCAGTATATAATACAAATAAACAATGGTTTAATTAATTTTAGATGAATTCATTTCTTGTAGGCTTAAGCATTTACTTACCTTGTCTGTGTTCAATTTGAAGATAGTGTCGAACAAATGATGAAGATCCAAAATGGCTGTGATACATGGGAAATTTCCAATTTTCTAGCGTTTATCTAATGCTATTTGATTATGCAAATTTACTGATCAAATATTGAATAGTGTATGAATAGGTACAGTACAGTAGAGCGACCCTAATGAATACCGTACTAGTGTTGTATCGGCATAACCATATATAAATGTTTAAATAAAATAATGTATACCGTATATATA